GGCCATGCCGCCCACCAGTGGACCAGCGCAGCTGTGTGTGGCTGCCGATGGCCTTGCGAGTGCCGCTGGGGCGAGGAGAGGTGGGGCGACTGCCGTTGTGGGCGGGGCGGGGGCGGCACACAGCTGCTGGCCTCCTCTGCTGGCGTCGGGTGGTCGTGTCGGCCTCCGGGCGGCTGTCGTGTGTGTTGGCACTGGGGCGGCTGTGGGCATCGTGACATGATGTGTGGGCGGGGGTGCAGGTCGGTGAGCGAAGCGGGCGCCACTTGCGGCCGCAGGAGGCCCCCAGCAGCCGGTGTGGAGTGGCGGGGCGAGCAAGGGGACCGTGATGTGATGCATGAGGGCGGGTGGGTGACTTGGTGGCGCCACTGGCACGAATGTCACTGCTGGTGGCGGGAGGGGGGCGCCAGCAGGAGGCGTCTCGCCATGCTGCGGTCTTGTTCGCGTCTCTTCGACCTCACCGTCGCCATCGTTACACACCCCCGCACTCTCATGGTCGTCCTCTCGGCTCAACTCGGACCAGCTGTCGTCTGGAATGAAATTCGGCAGCTCTGTCGACAGAAAATGGCGAAGGGCGGATCGCACCTGCATCAATCAATCCATGCATTCACAGAGACAATCAGACAATGAGAGAGGGAGGGGCGGCCTTGGGTGTGGGGGAGTGTGGGTGTGTGCGTACCGCTGTGGTGGCGGCGCGAGGACGCCTCACGGCATCGGCATGAGCACGCTCGATGATCTCCACAAGACGCCAGTGCACGCGGATCTCCTTGCAACGCTGCAGCAGGGACCTGGTCGCACACCACACATCTTGGCCCATGTCTAACGCACGCGGACCCTGCACACACACACACACACACACACAGACAGAGAGACACACACACGCACACAGACAGACAGAGAGACATCCAAACACACATCCACACACACGAACAGTCACGCGTCTTTCTCTTCCTGTCTGGCTGGCTGTCTGGCGTCGGTCGATTTTGTGAGTTAGTGCGCGAATGGGTACGTACGTCATCGAGTGGTCCTTCCTGAGCCGGTCGAGGTCGATGAGCACCGCCTCGCAGCCGCCGCCAACCGACTCACGCAAACCAACATTCGCCGCCTGTCGACAAACAAATACATACATGAGACATGGCTGGATGACGGGATGGATGGGTGGGTGCACTTGACGCGACGCACGTACACGGATGTCGCCATGCACCAGTCGACTGGTGGAGTTGTCGCTCTTGAATGGCCGCAAAGAGACCGTCAGCGACAGTCCCGACGGTGCGCGTGGCCTCCAGTGTGGACACCGCCGACAGGTCCAGGTCAATCAGAACTCCTGCAGACACCGACAGACAGACAGACAGAGAGAGAAAGAGAGAGAGAGAGATGGTCATGAGTCACTCATCCATCCATCCATACGTCTGTCTGTCTGTCTGTCTGATGCAGGCTGCTCCCTGCTTACGTACGTACCTTCGATCCATTCCATCTTGTAGGCCGTCAGGCGCTCGCCGTGGGGACCGGCGATGTGATAGACCTCTTCGACGCTGACCACGTCGGCGCACCGCGGCTTTTAAGTTACCGCGCGGCCGCCGGCACAATGTCAGCCATAGGTCGTTGCCGGTCCGCAAGTACTCGCCATCCTGTGTGTCGACATGCCGACACGTGCAACCAACACAAGACCACACAAGAACCAATCGGTGCGCACCCACCACACCATCTCTCGCCACACCCACCCACCCAATCACTCACGCACCTGTGCGCCAGAGTCGTGCTGGTCACGCAGAATCTTCACAGCCCAGCGGCGTCCCCCGCCGTCGCGCATCGCCACGACCACACCAAAAAGCGGCCGAAACGCGCCCCCGCGCTGCCGTCCAGAGACAGACCGGCCTCCCTCTCCAACCAATCCTGCAGACAGACAGACAGACAAGCAAGACAGAGCAGATGTTTGTGTGCAGGACGGCGACGTCCAGAGGTGTCTTGCTCGGCTCTCTTTGACTGGCTGAAGCACTCACCACTGCAACATTCGCCCTCTTCAGCTCCGCGGAATTTCAATCTGATTCAGGGGCTCTCCTCTCTGCCTGTGCGACGCACGCGGACACACAGACACAGTCACACGCACACGCACACGCAGACACACACAAAAGGACGGGACACGCACTTCGATCCCTTCCCCGTGCCCTTGTCGTCCTGTGCTGACTTCTCTCACCGTCATCGACGAACCAATGCTCCCCCTTATCAAAAGGGAGCATCAACAGGGTGTCATCATCTCGTACATGGAGAGTGCAGGGACTTGGCTACCCCTGGATTTCGGAAAAAGGCCAGATCTGCAATAGTCTGCGTGTCGTGATGTCGTGTTAGAGAATTCACAAGTGGCCGGGATTCTTTGCGGGCGGTGCAAGCGTGCCAATCAGATGGCGGCTTGTGGTGTGAGTGGTAATCATGTTGAGTCACAGTAAAACAGCACACATGCACAGCAGTCTCGAATTGCGAAAACAAAGTCAAACAATCACGTAGCAGTCCCACCAGTGGTCATGAAGTCAGACAGACAGGCACGGACAGACAGACAGAAGGCACAGCAGGCAGCCGGCTGTTTGAGCCAATTCATCAGAGAGGGAAGGGGTGGCATACACTCACCTGTACGTACGTACTGCCTGTCTGGCCTTCCTTCCCTTGTCGGACAGTGAGTGCCAGGGGGTGGGTGGCTGTGTCTCAAGTCTCTGAGTGGACGAGGAGGCATATCATATGATATCGTACCGTGTCCACGTGCACTACTTGCTCAGAGACCACTGGACCGACCGACCAAGAGAAGGCAGGCAGGCACGGCAGCAAGGCCGACACACACGCAGTGCCCCAGCAAACAGCCAAGGAAGCGGTCATAGGCAAAAAACGAGGACATACATCTGGGTGGTTCTGTTGTCGATAAAAATAATGTGCGCCGTGTCCCTCGTTTCATGTGTGCCTTGCCTGTGCATCCATCCATCCAGCTAACAAGCCAAAGCAGCAGCCAAAATAGGTGGGGCAACGAGTGAGTCTGGCTGGCTGGCTGGCTGCTAGATACAGTTTCCTACTGCCTGACTCGGGATGGGTCCACACCGTGCAAGGTGAGACATTCCGACGGACGAATAAGGAGTGATGCCAATCCAGGCAGAGGCAGGCAGGCAGGCAGAGCGGAGTGTAGTGGAGTGGGGTGAGCCTATGGGCCAGCCAGACATGGCTCGTGTCCCTTTCTTAGAAAAGGGTTGGTTGGTTTATGTACACACAAAAGCTGAGAGAAACACTTCACGCAGCTCAGTTAGTCAGTGAGGAAGTGAGTGGGAAGTGTCACCATGTATGTATGAGCCAGTCAGTAAACACGCACAAGAAACCACTCATTCCCCCCCACACCACACCCACATCGATAGGTAGGGAATGAGTGAGTGTGAGGGAGTGAGTCAGCAATCGATGCAGTCAGTCAGTCAGTCAGTAGACATATCGACACCCCTCCCTCCGCCCCTGCCCCTACGTTCGATTGTATCGATCGTGCCGCGCCGCCGCCCGTGCGCTCGCTTCGCTTGGAAGCGTTCACATGTGGCGCCGACTGACTAACCTGCACCATCCATCAATCCATCTCTTTACAGGCCCAGCAACAAACCACACAGACCACCCAACCGCTCGGAATCTTTACATTCACGCACTCGCCAGCCATGTAGGCAGTCAGGCAGGTACATAGGTCAGGCCGGGGCAGCCAGGCAGGCAGGCAGGCGGACAGTCAGGCGGGCAGGTAGGAAGAGAGCATCAGTCAGCAAAAGACAGGAAGGCATTTGAATGGCCACACACCCCAGCCAACACTCACATCCCTTCGGACAATCCTTCAATTGTGTTACCCCCTCTCCCCCAGCCGACAGCACACGACTAAGCTCAACTCATTAGGCACAAAATCAGCATCAGTCAGTCATCTATCCATTGATTGATTCGATCGTATCCTGAGCTATTTAAGCAAGCAGCGTAGCTAGCTATAGCTGTTCATGGATTAGGCGTTTGCATGTGGGATGTATGTATATGGATGGATGTCTGTATTTATGTATACGGACGCCATGGGCAAGTAAGTACGCAGTTCGACAGGGAGACAGAGGGAGGGGAAGGAGGGAGGGAACGAACGGGCAGGTTAGGTAGGGCAAAACCAGGAAAATTTCTCTACGGGACGCCAATGCACTGGCACGGCCAATGGGTAGCGTTACGAGCACCTGCACACAGACACACACACACACACACATACATACAGACGCAGTCAAGTGAGTGCGTGAGTGCGGCTCCCTACTTGATGCAGAGATCAAGTGCTGCGTCATGGTGGACGATCTGGGACAGGCAGCCGGCTATCAGCTCATGCTCCTGGACAGACATATCACGCACACAGACGGACAGCCCATATGTCAGTGCAGTCAGTCGTCACATGTGGTAATGTGGTCCGTCCCTTCACCGGACGGACGCATACATCCATGGTCCGTACCTTTTGGAGCTGGGCGATCTCGGGGCGCTCGACAAACTTGAGCGACTTAGTCCGGCAGTTGGGCATGCCGCTGACACCACAGACAGACAGAGACCAGGCGTACCGACGACACAAACGAGCAAGGGAGACATGAGTCCACATGGTACGCAGATCTGCACAGCCTGCCTGCCTGCTCGTTGTCTGTCTGTCTGTCTGTCTTGTCTGTATCACCCACCTGGTGACATGGAGAATGGCTTCTCTCTCATGCGCACTATCACCGAATGAGATGACGTTACGACGGCACACCGAACTCCGCTCCGAGTAGAACTTCCCGATCTCGCGATCAAACGCCTTGGCCTGAGTGAAACACACACCAACACGGACGGCATGGGAGATCATGTCCGTCGGTGTCCACCACCGCTGCCACGTCTGTCCCTGCCTCGCTCCTCCGTCCCTGTCTGTGTATTTGTGTGCCGCTGTCTGCCTGCCTCTCTGCCTCTCTGGTGTTCGACAGGTGGGTAGGTGCCTCCCTCCCTCCTGTGGGTGCTGTGTCGTGTCGTGTTGCGTTGTGTTGTGTGTGATGTGTCCCTCCCTCCCTCACCCCTGCAGGTACCTACCTTCCACTCGAAGGGTGACTGGAACCCCTCAGGCTCGAATGTGCTCCTGGCGGAGAGGATGCGGTACTGAGTGACTGAGTCGTAGAGGGAGGGCATGAACTTGCGGCAGGAGAGTTCGATCCAGCCCTGCTCGGCGTTGGTGATGATGACCACCGTGCCCATGGACGCCGCCAGCTCCAGGGTGCGCTTGGCGCACTCCGCCATCGAGTCCAGGTGCACCTGCAGGTCCTCGCTCACCACGCAGTCGTTGTCCAGCCGCAGCGACTTCTGCGTCAACCACGTGCTCGGCATCAACGTGTCGTCCTGCACACACACCAACCCACACGCCATACACATCACGCCACACACCACACACCATGCACCACACACCACACACCACACCACACCACGCGGCAATTCCCAGCTGTGTTGGCCCCTCGGTGCCTCCCCTGTCCTGCCCTCCCTCCCTCCTGCTGACTGACTCACCCAGTCAAAAATGAAAATGGTGGATTCTGGAGGGAAGCCTTCGGGGGACTTGTCATCAACATCCCCCGAACTGTGGTGGCCCTTCTCCATATCCATAGGCACCGTGGAACTGCACACACACACGACACAGCCAAGGACAGGACAAGACACCGAGTGAGGGCATTGGCTTCGTGTCTGTACTTCCACCGCTCCACATCCCAGCCCCCGCCTGTCGTGTCTATCTGCGTATCAGTCACTGTCCCTCGTCCGTCCGTCCGTCCGTCCGTCCCACACGTGTCGTGTCATCCCTCCCTCCCTCCCCTCCCCATCCCACGTCATCCCACCCCTACCGACCTGGTGGATGCGTCATCTTCGGCGTCGAGGAAATCTTCGTCATCGCCGCACCGCAGGTCGCTGGGAGGGGGGGATGAGAGCGACTGCCCACCGTCTAACCCGCTGGGCAGGTCCGCCTCCGTGACGATTTCAACGGGACTGAGAGACACAGCAACGCCAACACACACGACACACGGCGTCCGTCAACCTCTTCCCGGGTGGTCCTTGACGCCGCTTACGCGATGGGGTTCGCACAGGTAGCCATCGCACACGGAAGAGGACGCTCCACCAGAACCAGGTACTCGTATCTCACTCACAAGGCGATGTACTGACCACTATCTCCACACGCCGTGCTGTGTGTTGCGGGGCCTGTGTGGCCTTGTCTTCCGGCGTGCGAGATAGGAGCCGCTAGGGAATCGTCCAACACTCAAGCTCGCACAGCTTAAGGCCGCTGTGAAACGAACGATGACGGGACGACGTGAACGATCGGTGAAAGATGATGCAGGCATTCTGCGTTACTCAAGAGGACTGACAGCAAGGAGGGGCTGCGTACGAAGACCTTGACGAAGACGCTTCTGCGCATGCCTGTGGATGCAACTACCTCGTGAATGAATCTTCAATGTTCGACGCACTATGCAATGAGCTTACAACGCGTGTCTACTGACAAACAGCCCACAAAGTCAACCACCGATCGATTTGCAGCATGGTTTATCTATCTATCTATTATCTGCTGGAGAGCACACCAAGCGCTCCTTACGTCTACGCACCCATCCATCCATCCACCGCCTCCCCGCCCTCCCGCCCGTCAGTCAGTGTCGGGAGAGGAAGTAGTTGACAGAGAGGCAGGCGAGGATGATGATGAGGGCAACACCCAGCAGACACACGCACCTGCAACACACCACAACCAACATTCAGGACGGCGAGGGACATTTAGCAAAGTACGCTACGCCGGAGGGGCGGGTCTTTTCTTGCCGTGCCTACGTGCGAGTGTTGCGCCTCCTCTGATGCAGGCGAGCCACACGGACCTACAAACATATGATGGCGCACCGAATCACCCAACCGGACTGCCAGTGATTTTGTCCTGAGGACGAATCTATCTGTGGTCTGTCTGCTTACCTGTTCGAGCGCCTGGGCTGTGCGGTCACTGGCGTGCCGCATGGTGCTCTCTATGCTATCTGTGGTCACACACACAGGTAGCAAACACGAGGTAGGCAGGCCCCTTGTGGCGTCAGTGGGTTCCGTGCATCCATCAATCAGCCAAGTGGGCTGGGTTCCTACCGATGTAGTTTTGCTGCTGGCCCACATGCCAATTCAGTTCCTGATACAACTGATGAATGCCTGCAGCCAGGCAGGCAAGGCAGGCAGGCAGAGAGGCAATACGTACGGCAAGGAAGGTGTGTGAATGTGTTGAGTGAGCACGTGTGCGGCTCACTCACCCTGAATGTCGCTTTGTATTTGCTGAAGACCTTCCTGTCTGGCTCGGATGACATCCTCCTGCAGACTGTCCTCCGCCAGGGGCTGCAACCTGATGTCACACCCGCACCCACCCACATAGGATATGGCATCCACCCGACTGACTGACTGATTGTCTCTGCGGTGCGTCTGCTGTCGTGTCCTCTGCCTGTGTGGCAGCCACACAAACCGGCTGCCTCCCTGCCTCCCTGGAGACGAACGACGAACCTGTGTTGTGCGAATGGGTGGCGGACGAGTTTGTCATCGACCTCTGAGGCGTGCAACCCATATGGATTCACGAACACTGGGTTGGGGACCCTCCAATCGCGCGCAGTCCCGTCGTTACTGTCGCCATCTACGTCAATAGACCCACATACGCACAACCGCACACCAAGACAGACAGACAGATACAAACAACAACGGACCACCACTCGTCAGTCAGCACGAGCCCTTCAGATGCCCGCAAATAAATGGTGTGTTCACCTCACCCCCTGTGTATCGCCACGAAGAGCTATGGCAGTCACTGCTATCCTCATCTGCACCGCACCCACCCCACACATCCAAACCAACGTGGATTGATTGGCGTGTCTGCCGATCTGTGTGTGTCCGTGCCTGACCTCCTCCCTCCTTCCCTCCCTTTTTTTGTTCATTTAGTCCTTACTTGTGCTGGTTGCTGAGGGGAGGACAGGGAGTGGCGATGATGATGAGTGAGAGATCTCCACATCGGTGTCGCAGGCCGAGGGCGAGTGGCGATAGTCACCCAACAACGGCTGCTGCACCATCACGTCCACCGTGGGGCTGCCCTTCACACGCGTATACCTACACACACACACCAATACATACGTACAGACGTACGTACATCACACAACACAACACAACACAGTACAACGAGCTCCCTCCCTCCCTCCATGCAATGCGCACCCATCGCGTCGGGCGTGTGTGTGCATCCCTCCCTCCCTTCCTTCCTCCCGCGCCCGCTCACCTGGTTTGCTGGATGTTTGGTTTGGTGGTTTTGTCTTCGACGCTGAATGGGTTGGGAGGGGGGGTGTCGTGGCCGCCATTGCGACACGACGGGGGGGCCCGCTCCGTGGGGTCCAACAGCGTATACCTATCACAGAGGGGATACCATGCACACACCAACAAGACAGACAAGGGACAGGGCAGGGCAGGCACACCAGCCAGCCCAGCCACCCGTGTGCACACTCCATCCATTCAATGATCCCGGTCAGGGTGCAGTGCGGTGCTGTGCTGTGCAGTCGATCTCCCGCGCCGCGCCGCGCCCACCCTTCGGATTCTATGCTAGCGATGCGCTGCTGTGAGTCGCGGCGATGAATCACCTGGGTCAACGTGTACTTCTCTGCACGCCCAACCACCCACACACCCAGCCACCAATGAACGACGCATACAAACATGGGAGTTCACTCCGGCGGCATAGCTAGCGTAGGTGTGCAATGCAATCAATATCTCTCTCTCTATGTATCTTTTCATCTGTACGTACGTACATACCCCTGATGACGTGCGTTTCTGCGATTCGCTCGAGGTCCTGACCAAACCAACACACACAGGACAGGCAGACGATAGATAGATACCATACGATTGATTGTCCTTGGCCTCCGGGCTGGCTAGATACACACATACGTACTTACTTGCAAGGCCTTGGCGTATGTCGCCGTCAACTTCTTGTGCACCAAACGGCGCTGCGACTGACACACAGAGGGAGGCAGCGGAAGGCACAGGCAGGGAGACCACGACAGACCACCAGTAAGTATGCCATGAATGCATTCGTGCGTTCGTTGCCTTGGTGGTTCAGTCAGTAGTGACTGGCTGGCTGACCCTTTCTGTCGGATTGTCTCCTGTGATTGCGGAAAAGCGCCTGAGGATACCCTGCGTCTCAAGCGCCAAATCCTTGGCAGTGTTCATCTTGGAATGCCTGACCGACCCGACCAACCCCATCCCATCCATCCCCCAACAGACAAGACAAGAGCAAAGATCCCCACAGAAGCCCCCCGTGGCCGCCTCTCTGCTGATCGGTCAGGTGGCTTACAGCGCTGCCTGGAACTCGGCACGTTCATGCGACTGGACGGGGCGAGCACACTGACCGACCGACACACACACACACAGACAGACGTACGTACATAAAGACCAATCATGAATGGCATTGGGCGTGGGTGGGTGTGCATGTGGAGGTAAGGAGGGAGGGGCCATGGAGGGTGCGGTGTGGCTTGCTTACCAGCTTACTGATCTCCGCTGTCTTGGCCTGCAACTGCACCCACACACACCGCCACAGACAGGGTTGAACACTCATCCAGCATCGGCGTGTCCGAGTGGCCTGCTTGCTGTGGCTGCCTGTATCTGCGTGTCTGACCTGTTGGATGTACTCCTGTACGTGCCGGGCACCTTCGGCCGCTGCCTCCACATCCCGCGGGCTGTCAGGCTCAGCAACAAACGACATCGTCACAGTGGATGAATGAATCAAACTAGGATGCAACAAAAGGCCAGGCTCTGCCAACCACAAGAGTCGCTCTGGCAGATCTCCCAAAAAGCTCGCAATGATTTTCGGTGTCGCCAGCTGAAGGAGCGAGTGTGCGTTAGATCATGGCTCAAAGCAAGTAAGAGCGATTTCCCCCTGTGCTGTGAGTTCGCAGCACGAGTCATTGGTGCGCGCTCCGCCTGTGTGTCTGTCCCTCTCAGGACCTCCCATGAGTTCTTGGCTCAGAACAAGTACATCATTATGCATCAGCTGGGCGCTGGCTGCTTCGGCAAGGTGAGGCTCCATATACTTACTTATACGAACCGGGCTTGGCTTACCGGCTGTCAGTGCAAATGGTGATTGATGTGCGGTGGGTATGTGGCTGCACCAGGTGTTCAAGGCCCGTCGTCGCTATACGGGTCAGATCGTAGCGCTCAAGTTCATTCCGAAGCGTGGCAAGACCGACCGTGACTTGAGCAGCCTGCGGCAGGAGATCAACATCCTCAAGCGGCTGCGGCACGACAACATCATACTCATGCTCGACAGCTTCGAGACCGCCGAGGAGATCTGTGTCGTCACCGAATTCGCACAGGGGGAGCTATTCGATGTCTTTAGGGACGAAAAGAAACTGCCCGAAAATGAGGTGGGCAGGGGTCGGTGGCTGTGCGGGTGGAAAATTCGGGCGTGTGTGTTGCGTGTGCGTCAGGTTCGTTGGATAGCATCCCAGTTGGTGTCTGCGCTGCACTATCTGCACCGCAACCGGATCATTCACCGCGACCTGAAGCCGCAGAACATCTTGGTGGGCGCCAACCGTGTGGTCAAGGTGTGTGACTTCGGGTTCGCGAGGGCCCTCTCCGACCAGACCCACTGCCTGCACTCCATCAAGGGCACCCCACTCTACATGGCACCTGAACTCGTACAAGAAAAGTCTTACGACGTCAAAGCTGACCTCTGGTGTGAAAAACAGTCAAGGGGCCGGGAGGGAGGGAGGCAACGGGGACCTTGGCTTGGCAGGGAGCTTGCGGGCAGGCAGGCAGGCAGGCAGTCTGGCAGAAACACTCAGCCATCCAATCCACTGACCTGATGTGTGTGTGTTTGTGTGTCTTTCTTTCTGTCTTATGTGTGTGTCAGGTCGCTTGGTGTGATAGTATACGAGTTGTATGTGGGGAAGCCCCCTTTCTACACCCAGTCGCTGTACAGTCTCATTCACATGATCGTACAAAACCCCGTCACATACCCGCAGACCATGAGGTACCTACCGAGGGAGGGATACACACCACGAGGGTCGCCTCGCCACCCACCCAATGCTGTCTGTCTGTGTGGGTTGATGTGATGCAGCCCCACGTTCCGCAGTTTCCTGGACGCCATATTGCAGAAGGACCCGACCAATCGGTTGCCAACCGAACAGCTGGCCAAGCACCCATTCATCGCCACTCATGCACGCTGAACGGACAGCATGAGGACGTCGGTCTGTCGGGTGGGCGCTTGTAATGGTCTGGGGTGGTTCGTAGGTAGGACGGGCGGTGGCTCTTGTGAATACATACACATCTTGATATACATGGTATCTCATGTGGGGCGGGGTTGGAATGCCCAGTCGATGCAATGTACCCAATGTACGGATCTATGCATGTATGTATGTATCTATGTATGTGTTTATGTACGTATGTGCATGCACATCTGTGATGGATGGACGGATGGATGCCGGAGCAAGAGCCAGCCAGAAGAGAGCAGCTTAATTAGCTAGGTCTATCGACGGGGGCGATGATGCCTCTTTGTGTGAAGATGGACATGAGTCGACTAAGCTTCTCTTCCGCGGCTCTCGTCAGTACAAATGCCTCCTCACTCTCCATGCCACCTGACGTGACACAGACACAGACACAGACACAGACACGTATATGAATAATGAGACACACGTCTACCCATGTGTTGTGCACTGAATGTCCGTGAGAGAGGTGACTGACCTTGCAGCGCCCAGTCAGAGATGCGTTGGGTCTGAGGGTCGACACGAATCATGTCCCAGTATGCCTGGGCGGGCCTCTCACAGGGGGCGTCGGGCCTGTCGTCGTCTCGGCCGGCCAGAATGGCACGTACTGCACCAAGTGACGCCTGTCTGCTGCACATTGCTGGCGGCGCGGCGCCCTGATCACTCGAAAAGAAAGGCCTGCACGACACGATAGATATGAACACGATCGATGGACGCACAGATTGACGCATCCGATGGCCGGACGGCGCCGGCCGACCTGTGTTCTCTCTTCCACAGATGGCTGACGACCGACTGCAGCAAATCCGTAGGATGGAAGTACATTCACTGACTACACTGGTGGATCGTCTATTCACCTGCCTGTCTGTATGTGCGTCCGCTCGTTCCATCCGTACGTACCTTTGTTGGGCAGTAGAAGTCCCATCCGTGCCGGAAGAGCAGAAGCGTCATGACCTACAAGAAGGTGGGCACCCCACCACGAATGCGGTGCCTGCACTGCACAAGAAGCCCCGCTTCTGCACCGCTGGCACTGACCTGTTCCTCGCCGAAGAAGATGTCCGGCAGGGGGACGTAGGGCACCTCACGCAACACGTCCGAACGACCGAACCAAAACCCTTCACAACACCAACACCACAGAGAGAGAGAGAGAGAGAATAGAGAGAGAGAGACCTCACAGCATTACCTCGCGGCATTTCCCGTGTGGTGGCTGACCTGCTGCCCAGAAGAGCGAGGGGCAAGGGGAAGGCAGATGTGAAGTCAGCATCCGACTGCAATGCGCATCAACATGCCTCACGCATGGCAAGGGAGCTGTCTCTCTGCATCAGACAGGCATCCCACCCACCCACCCACCCTTTGGTGCGGAGCAGGCCGTTCTCATCAAAGTGCGAGGCGCACAGCAGCACGGGACGAGTCTCATCACTGACATAATCCCAGCCGACCCCATGTGGATAGGCGGGCGGGTAACTCGTCAAGATTGGCTTGGACGAGGGACACCGGCCAAGGTCCTACACACCATACACACAGATCATCCAACTAACACCCACTCAATGAATGAATGCATCTCATCTAGCCCAGTCACTTAACCCGCCTGTGTCGTTAGTTATTGATTGATTCACTGACCCACCTCACCTCCAGCAGGAGGGTGTCCCATTTTGGACGAAACCTGAGGGAGTGAGAACCAGGACAGACCCCCACACAGTGTCTGTATGCAGACAGACGTCCTGGCGTCGTGGCTGCCTGTCTTCCTTCCTACGTGCGTACCTCATGTGGCTGTCTATCGCCAGAAGGTACGGCTCGCCCTCCCACAGGAGCTGCGCCAAGTGTCGCGCCCATGCCGGACCCCTCGCAGCCCCCTTGTCCAGCACCAGCACCTTCAGATACCCGCACTCAAAGCGGAAAAGGGGATGAGGTGCACGAGCACGTGGGCGGCAGGCTGCAGGCCCATGCTGAGGGTCATCTTGCACTGTCGATGACCCACCAGAAGCTCTGTCGTCCTGACGTCCTGGCCCAGCCGTGCGGTGGCTTGGCCTATGAGATCCTAGCCACTTGGCCCTGAGTGCAGGATTGAAGGTAAAGGATGTGATAAGATCGTCAGCCGCAGTCTTGTCTTTGTTTCGCAAGTCGCCTGCACGCGGACGAAGGGAGGGAGAGGCGGCATGATATGATACGAGTGAGTGCACCTTGCCAGACGCATCCAAAGGAGATCTCGCGCGGGGCATCTGCTTGGTGGATGGCAGACTGAAAGAAACGCCACACACATACACATCACACAACCAACGAGAGGGAGCATCTGTGAGAGGAGGCAGGATCTTCCCACACGATTCATGCACACCTGTATTGTCAAGGGAAGCTCGTCGTCGCGGTAAGACGGGATGAGTACGAGGATCTTGCGCATCGCGCTCGGCATCTTTGCTTTCGAGCTCGCATTTCAGGCGATCGGTGGGAAAGGTGGCAGGCCCATGTCGCTTGACGAGACCCCCGAGCATGTGACTCTAGAGCGCGTCTTCACCTTCTTTGAGCCCTTGGATCTGTGCGTTTTGGCAAGCGTATCCAGGGCTCTGCGCGGCCTCTCGTAAGCGTGCCCCCTCCCCCCCCAATGCGCTGCACAGCCGTACACTGCCTGTCGTGTGCCCCTTGATTTGCAGAGAGCGGGACTCTCTTTGGAGCGTCTTATGCACCTCTCTGTGGCAGGGCAAGGCCTTTGTGGCGGAGAGGTTCCGGCAGACCCCGAGCAAGGCCAGCTACCGCGGATCACTGGCCGACAAACATCGTGACACCATTACGCGTGGCGAGCTGTGCTCACTGACGTGGCACTTCCGCTTCAAGCGAGATGCGGGCGAGGAGTGGACAGATGCCGATCCGTATTGGAAGAGGGGCTCGCCCATGCAATGGAGCTTCCGGACAGACGGAAAGATGGAGCGGGCGGACGACCATCCCGAACTCAGAGCGAATGAATCGGTTCGTGGAGGGCCGGCCTGCGTCGGCCGACAGCAAAGGAGTGGGCTCGGTGCACTGCACAGCCCTCTGTCTGTCTGTGCCTGGTATATTTTGTGCAGGAGGTGCGGCGTTGGAAGTTCACGAGGGTATCATGCGGTGCTCGTGGCCCCAAAGGGCGCTTTGTCAAGGTCGGCCGTTTCCCAGGTATGTGTGTCATCCATCACACAGAAACAGACACAGACACAGACACAAACACATGGGCGCACGCAGGATCCGCCTCTACACCAGGCCAGTGGACGAGTTGTGCGTGGCTCTGTGTTTCTGTGAAAACGGTGATTCAGCGTATGTCGTGTCGCGTACCGCCAACTGGGGGTGGCTGATGGAGAGCTGCTGGGTGGTGCTCTACAGCTTCCCCATTTCCCCCTACAGCCAACTGCCAAACGAGTACCGAGACGAGGGCCTGAAGGTCGATACGGACCTCCAGTGGGCAGTAAGCACGACGGCAGAGCACAAGCCTGCCTCAGAGGATCCGATCACACACACACTCCCCACATCCGGTCCATCTCTCGTGTTGTTCTGCAGGAGGCGTTCCTTTACAACAATGCACTGAATGTGCCCCTGCGTTACCTCCTGCAGGACGGAGCCGACTCAGAATACGAGCCAGAGACAGGTCAGCGGGTCGGTGGGTGGGTGAAAACAGGCAGGCAGGCAGGCAGGCAGTTAGTTTTGGTTCATGAGCGAGATCCCTGCGTTGAGTGTATCCATTGGTGTGTGGTGTGTGCATGGCAGAGGGTCGATCGGCCAAGCGGCGGGGCGGGGCCAGGACAAGGGACAGCAAGCGGCGAAAGAAGAGCAGTCCGAAGGCCAATGGCTAGCAAGTCCGTCCGTCCGTCTGTCGAGACGGACAGGCACAGCACGGCGTGGGCTGATTTTTGAGCCTGTGCAGTGCATGTACGTACGGTACATGCAAGAAAATGTTAGTTGAGTCCAGCGAGTCGACGGCATCCATGTTACGCGTATAGGGACATTTGGCATGACGAACACTTATGCATCGATCAATTTCCTCATACCAAATGGACGGACATCGCTGTGTTGATATTAGGTTTAAGTGAATCAGCGGTGTTTGACTGATTGATTGGCCGTTCGTAGATCCATGAACGAATACCGTCTGTCCATCCATCCATCCATCCACTCATCCGTCCGTCCAGCCCACATGTCTGTCACGCCACGCGAGCCACTCATGCACAATACACTGTACAGCTCTGCCCGCAATGAACCGTCCACCCACCCGGTCACGCAACGTGTCCTTGGATTAGCCAGTCAGCTGAGCTAGGTCTCTTCCTCGCCATCAGTCAGCCCTCCACGCATGTCTATGTCTGACTCTTCCTTGTTGATGGCTATGTCTAGCTGTGCACCCTGTCCCGCTGCTGCTGCTGCTGGTGGTGCCTGCTGTGTGTGTGCAGTCCTGCGCTTCTTGGCCACATGAGTGTCGGCGGGCCCAGAGCACACGTAGTCGATCGCTGTCATGCCCAGGTTGTCCTCTGGGTTCCAGAGGTCCCTGAGAGGGGCCTTCTCGGGGGCATGGTGCAGCATCTCATACCGCAGCGCCTCGAAGAATCGCACCTGCACACACAGACACATATGCATACATACATGAGTGGGGGGTGGGGTGGGGTGGGTGGTTTGGTCGCTCAGCTCACGACGGGCCTGACGAGGTCCCTCTCTTCCTGGTAGTTGCTGTGGGCCATCCGGTAGAGGATCTCGTTGGGCCCCTCGTGGTCCTTCAGGTGTTCCCTCAGCGCAGCACCAGACAACTCCCAAAACCTGCATGCCGCCACACCCACAGAAACAAACAAAGAAGAGGACGTCTAGTATGGTATGCGACGTCGGGATGGATGGGTGGATCGATTGACCGACGTGTGTTTCTTGGGCTGGGGTGGTCCGGTGCGGTGTGCAGTGCTATGGTCCCACCACTCACTCGATGCAGTGCGACAGGACATGTTTGCCCAAGGCGGCCAGCCCATCTGCGGCGATGGCCGGCGTCACCAGCACCGGGTGGGTGTCCTTGCGCTTGTGCACCTTCACGCTGAACACCTACAACCATCAGTTCAGTAGTTAACACACATCACGGCCATTCACTCATGGATCAGTCAGCCGGCACACATAATACAATACACAGACGTGCAGTGCATCTGTCCATTGTTTGCTTACGGCGCTCTCCCCGCCGATGTGGACGGTGCTGACGATACGGTAGGAATCGCCCCTGCTGGGAGCCCCCTCAAACATGCTGCACACACACACACACACAAATACAATTACGTGTTTGTCCCTGGGTGAGTGAGTGAGTGGACAGCACTTACAACTTATCGTGTGTTTCGAACCAGACGTGACTGCTGCTGTTGCTGCTGTCGGTGGTGCCGGTGGTGCCGGTGGTGCCGGTGGTGGTGCTGGAGGACATCTGGGCAGGGTCGGGCGGCTTGGGGTAGTCCTTGGCTGCGTACCGACTCGGCACCAACTCGCCGCTCGGCGCAACACGCCAAAACTGACAGACAAACAGAACGTCCAATAGGCGATATGCCCATGTGCGCCATGGAGTGTCTGCATGAGTGAGTGAGTGATTCAGTGAGTGAGGAAGACAACGCAACGCACCGCACCTCGGGTGGAGTCTTGGTGAAGCTATTGAGCAGCCGATACAGACGCTGAAACTTGAACTCTGAGTTAGGAGGAACGGCTGTGTCCTTGCCTGCATGCAGGCAGGACACACACACCCACACACAGGCCAGCATATGCAAGTGAGATCATTCTTACACTTTCATCTTATCCCGTTTCCGGCATGCTGTGCTGTGAATATCGTGCTATGGTTACGTTTGATCTTCTGCGCCGTCCATTTGCGGTCTATGTTGACCCAGAATTGGTCAGTGTCCTCGAACTGGTCACGGCCGAATGCACCGGGGTCCTTCTGAACGGCCACCGTCACCCCGCATGGCAAGGGCCAATCGTCCGGGAGAGCAGCGACGAACGCGGCGAAGCCACCGGTGGCTGATGACCTGATCCATACAGACACATGCAAAGCACAGACTCACTCAGCCCAAGCGCGTATGTGGGTGGGCGTGGGCAGCTGGTGCGTGTGCGTGTACATCTCCTCAATGGGTGGTGCGAGCATGTGTAGCGACGAGTCCTCCACCGAGTCGAATGCACCTGTATATATGGATACAGACAGACGATTGGGAGGGATCAAGTCGAGTGCACCATCAATTGACAGCCTCTCCCCCTCTCTCTCTCCCTCCCTCCCTCCCTCCCTATCTCCCTGCTCTTGTCAAAGTTACCGTATTCTTCGATAGTCAGGTCATCCTGGCCCCATGTGCAGCGCACCGTGAAGCCCTTGCCCGCCTCGACGGTGACCTCCCGCACCATGTCGCGCATCTCGGTCGTCCCGTCGCGGCGCATGAAGAGGAAGGCAAACCGGATGGTGGTCGACGGGGTGAGGCAGAAGATGTGCGCCACGGTACAGCCGCCCCACGCTCCATCAGCACCCTCGGCGATGTGGAGGGGGATGGGTCTCTTCCCTCCCCCCAGATACGGGTGCTCGCCCACCACCGACAAGATGGCGTGCTTGCGTGGGATCTGATAGACACAGCTGCGGGCATCAATCTCAAAGCAAACCACTGCAGGGGCGAGCGTGGACGGCGACGCCATGTGATGGGCTCTGCGCGCCTGCACGCGTACAAGGGTAACAAAGACAGCGTGGGCAATGCATCACGACGCAGGAAGAAGGCTATTCTCGCAACGCACCTGCGTCAATTGCTGCTGCTCACATAGGCATCAATTAATTCATAGTCGCCTTACAGACCGCCGCTGCTTCCGCCCCGGCACATGGAGCGGCCTGTCTGTCCTTGTGCGGCTTCAAGTTGCGAGCCTAACTTCGATCCGGACTTCTCGTTCGTTGTTCTTGAGATCTGGCTCTCTGTGGCTCCCCCCGCCCTCAGCACGGCTGACGTGGCAGGTGAGGTAAAAGAAAGAAAGAAGAAGATCCATGGAACATGTTGCCAGATGGCGTGTCGCGTGGCGTCCATTGCGTCCCTCCCTCCCTCCCTCCCTCCGCTCGGCCATCAATCCATGCCGGCCAGGTAATGATGTCGAGTGGTGCTCTTCGAATCTGTTGAGCATGTGTCATCTGTTTTTCCTTCAGGGGAGGCCTCGGGTGATCTATCAACCATCATTTGTCGCTGCTGGTTCTGGCGTTGAATTGCAGCACACAAGAACGCTCACTTTGAGAGCCAAGCCCTCCCGTCGAATCACAGCCGTTCTTGCCTGTGCGTGTGCGTATTCCTCTCTCACGGGGCGTCCGTCCGCTGAGGCGTCCATCAACAAGCAGGCAGCTGCCGCCCCACCCCCGCTCGACCGGCTGGGGTGGGCTGACCTCTGCAGGTCGACTCACCTTGGCTGGCCGAGGATGGCCGGCCTCTCACTCGACCGGTGCCTTTGAGTCGACTGGTGGACTCCGCCTCTCAGCTGACGGACTGCGCCTCTCTGCTGACTGACTCGATCGCCGATGTCCCACAGTGCAGTGCCCTTCTTCTCTTCCCAGGTGGCTGCAGGCGACATGCGGTCATGGGAGCGTGGCGCAGCTGAGCGGTTCCGTCCCCTCGTTCAATCAATGCAGCGGTACGCATTTCCGTGGCCGACAAACTGAGGAGAGATATGTGGGTGCAGTGCGGTGTGCGGTGCAGTGCACGTGGGGGCGGGTTGTGAGCAAGCCTAAGGCAAGTGGTCTGACTGCCTGCCTGCCTGCCGATGGATGTATATATCCGTGACCTCGTGAAGTGGACGCATTGCATGGATGGCCTATGTTGTGTGTCGTGTGTGAATCGAATCCAGGTCGCTTTCTGTCCCTTCCATCTATCCCTACGTCCGTTAATTTGCACGAGTCAGTCAATCACACCATTTCTGTCTGCCTTGTAGGTCTGTCCGTCCACTCCCCACCTCCCATGCCGCACCCCCCACACACAACCCCCCACACACGCCCCCCCTGCCAGCACTCGCTAGTTATCCCACTGCCCCTATCCTAAAGCTAACTCGGAGAGCGGCCAGAGAACTGAACAGCAATGGGCTAGCTAACTAGGCTGTCAGAGGTGGTGTGATGTGTGGGCGTGAAGGGAGTGCAACAGAGAAACCAAAAATATCACCACATCCATCCACTCATCCACTCTCATGGACACTGTACAGCTCCACATATGAAGGAGGACACCCCCACAACACAGACAGACAAACAGATCACCCATCCATCCACCATCCATCCACACGTGGTCTACCCCGGCCGTCCGTCCACCCCTGTCTGCCCCTTCCCATAAGCTAGCTCACTTACAAAGCGGCCAGAGGTCAACAGCAGCAGTAGACAGACTACCTAGGAGGCGCGACACACGTGGGATGGATGAATTAATTACATGAAGAGGGCGCTGACGCCCTCGACCGCCTCCCTGCCGGCGTGGGCGATGTTGATGGCGGCCAGCCAGAGGTTGTTGGCGAGGCCGCGCGCCGACAGGGGGCAGTAGTCCTCCTCCACCCTCACCGCCCACACATGCCCCGCCCTCTTCTCCCACTTGGCCAGCCGCCCGCCAAACAGCTGGGGGTCGACGTACCAGCCGTCCGGCCCCTCCCGCACGTCGCCGACGAACGTGCTGAAGGGGGCCTTCTTGCCGGCACACCAACCACCCTTGGCGGGGGCTGTGTGGGCCCTCTCCCTCTCCATCTCCCTCGCAGCCTTGGCCTTCTCCAGCCGGGCCTTGTCCACCTCCATACGGCGGGCCATGGCCGTCATGATGGCGAGGTCCTCCTCGCAGTCGGCCTTGATGGCCGCCAGGTATGCGGCGTCCTGGCGGCGGCGCTTCTCGGCCTCTATGAACGCCTGCAGCCAACGCACCACATAACACCAGGACAATGACACCCGTTGTGAGGTGGCCTCTCCTCAGTCACCTCCTTCTCACCTTGTTGGCGGCGTCAATCGCGGCCATGTCCTCAGCCGTGTAGCCCATATCGGCGGGCTGCACAGAGAGAAGCCTTGCTTGCATGCGTGAATGCATTTGTGCCAGCACATCAGGTGCATCCCAGCATCAACACGAGTGAGCACATCCCATCCACCACACGAGCCAGCCCATCGCATCAGCGCCCCACCAAGTCCTCAAGTACTTACCGTGGGCAGGTGGACGGGCATTGCAGCGGCCCTGTCGCTCACACGGGCCTCTTGGCCTTTCTGCTGCTGCTGCTGCTGACGACGCTGAGTGTGGTGTTTGCAGCAGAAACTCTGAAATTTGAGCTCGCAAACGACAAGCAGGAACAAAGACTCCGAAGGAGTTCATGTCATCGGCCGCCGCGGCATCGCCGGCCCTCATCATATGTCATTTTCGTTCGATAGGTGGTCGAGAGGGCGCGTTCCCGGTGTGCCCTCTGGTGCTGGAGCTGCAGCTGCTGTGCCACGGGAGAGATGACGTCCAGTTCAAACCAATGCCGTTCATGGAGGCTGGTGTGTGCAGTGCAGAGCCTCGCACCAGAGAGGCAGACAAGTGAATGCTGTGAGCACTGTGCCTTGAAGCTTCTGACTGTGCTGCTTGTCTGATCTGATCAGGCGGCCATGCATTGCCCTTCGGCATCAGTCGGCAGGCCGTCATCTCGGCCTCGTCACTTTACGGTCAGCCGGGGACATTCACTCATTGTCAGACACAAACGGATGCCTGGGCCCGGCCCGGGTGTGTGTATGTGTGTGCAGAGCATGTGCAGGAGATGATGTCCGCCAGTCCGTCAGCCAAGAAGGATGGCGGCCTCGCCATCGAGGAGAGCGGTGACGTGGCCTTCTCGGTCATGGTGGACGAGATAGACCGCGTCATCCACCACCTCATATGGGCCGACGCCGACTTGTTCTCGTCCTTCACGGCCCCCCTGCTGCTCAAGTCCATCCCCTGGCCCCTCTCGTGGTGGTCGGTGGCCCACGCACGGCTGGCGGCGTCGGTGCAGGGTGGGGGAGCGGTGGTGGCCGACGAGCTGCACGACATCCTCATCGCTCTCGAGAGGCGGCTGAGGGCGCCTGTGGGGCGGCAGCTTGAGGCGAGGGTCTTCTCACGGCTGGCCATCCTGTTCTCGCTGCCTTTCCCCTCGTCGAGCCCCGTGCCGGCGGTGTTGCGGTCCAAGCACGGCCTGGTGCAGTTCTGCGACTCGGTGCTCAAGAGGCAGCCGGCCCTGTGGCCCAACAGGGCCACTTTCCTGCGGGGCGCAATGCCCCCGCGGGAGGGCAGGAAGGCCAAGGAGGGGCAAGAGGGCGGCGGTAGAACGTGCCGTCCACTATCGAAAGATACATTGTCACAGGGGATGTGTTAGAGTGACTGAATGAGGTCCTAGCTGCTCTTAGTGGGATGGGAGCGCGTGTGTGCGCACACTGGGTATGTCATGTGTCCCTTCGCCTCTGTCAGTTGAGAGAGGTGACAACGGCTGGTTGACAATGCTTCTCACTGGCTGAACAGGCTGTACTGATTGTGTCTGCATGCATAGGTGTGTGTGGGCTGATGTGTGAGTGACGACTCGTCATATTAACGTGTGCTCCATGTGTACCCATCATCAATGCATGTAATGCGATTCGGTTCCCACGTATGTTCGCTGATCCACACGCGCACGCACGAACTCACCCACCCACCTCGGTTCACCTACCGTGTCGCCTTTCCATTATTGCACGCGTGCCTTCTTGCTTTGCACACGAACACCCACTCTTGCAGCCAAACGCGGACGTGTCAAACGGCAGCCAGCCAGGCGAGAAAACGGATAATGCGCGTCTGTCTGTCTGTCTGTCTGTATCCCCCACCGAGCCAGTCCAATCATACCCCTCCCACCAACCAACCCACACACACGCAGCCCATGACATGAACACGATGGCCTTTCTGTCTTATGTCTGACGGCTGGTGTGTGTGAGTCAGTGTGGGTGTGACCCATGTGTGAAAGAAGCGGGCATTCCTGAGAGGGAATGCCAACCCTGATTCACCTGACTGCCCACAGACGCCCCTCCTCTGCCCGCCCGAGAACTACTCATCGTCAGTCCACGCAACGCAGTAAGACAAATACCCAGGTCGAAGGGCAATGAGACGACGGTCAATCCACGAGCCATCTTGCGTCTCTCTCGTCTGTTGAGGTGTCGTCTCTTCGGACACCTCAACAGACACCACCCACCAGAAGGAAGGTGGGCAGCGGTTCCTAACGGATGCCAAAACCTGCCCGCAGTCACAACACACAGGGAGGGAGGGATAGACGAGCAAGACAAGGAAGGAGACCGAGGGCAATTCGAGCGAGAACCATTATATAGGTGGGTGTGGTGTGGTGTTATGTGTGAGCTGAGGGTGTTATGTGTGTGCTCTGGGGTGGGGTTGGAGCTTTGGCAGTGCCGGGGCATTTGTCCCGACACTCGCAAAGCCAGCCGACTCCCCCTCCCCTACCACACGCTTCCTACCAAACACTCAGGCACGTCTCCTCCCTCCCTCCCTCCCTCCCTCACACACACACACACACATGCAAACAAATAGGATCTCAGTCAGTCAGTCAGTGCGTACGGTATGCAGGTGTCAGGTTAGCGAGCAAGCAGGCAGGCTGCCATCCATCCATCCATCCGTCCGATCAACCGCACACACACGCCACCACATCGGCAGGCAGGCAGGTAGCTGGATAGGTACACATACGCGATCAGACGGCATTGGCAACACCGTCAACTCAACCATTGCACGCACCATGACACCAATAGTCAGTCAGTCAGTCAGTCGATGAGTCCTTCACTGCCGCCCCATCAGCAGTTTGTCGGCGAGAAGGTAGGCAGGGTGATGGATGGCAGGACATGCCCGCATCGGCTCAGGCAATCAGTCGATTCGATGATTCGCGGGACACATTCTCTCTCAAACACACACACACATACCAAGGTGTACAGGGCCAAGACAAAGGGAGGGATATTCGAGGGTGCTATATGACAGTGTGTGTTGCTGCGCATGCGCGATGGTGCGTGCCGGGCTTGGGCTGTGGGAGGTCAGGCATCTCCCGACCTTCGCAAAACCAGCGTACTCCCAACACAACCAAACACACACACCACACACACACAAGCGTCTCACTCAAACCTTTCCTTATTTCCTCCCTCTCGCCCATCCCTCCCTCCCTCCCTCCTTCTCAGACGCCCCACACACAACATGCAAACAAATAGGATCCGACAGCAATAATGGGTGCGTGCATTGCGGTCAACAGTCAGTCAGTACGTAGGCCATGCATGCGCAATATGCATGAATCAAATTACCTCACCAATCGAGCTGTGGCAGGCAGGTACAACCAAGCAGGCAGAGCAGGCAGGCGACCACTCATCCAATCACTCACTCACTCACCCATCCATCCATCCAGCCATCCAACCACATGTGTACACCAAGACGACAGACAAGAACGATTAGGAAGGAAGTTCTTCGGTCATGGCCCGGGCCATCTGCTCCTCCTCGCTGAGTCCTTCCTGCAGGTGCCCGGCTTGCTCAGCCTGAGCGGCCGACATGGGCTGCACAGCTGTCCCCGCGATCGTCCCGCCGCTCACCGACGCCCTTTCGGGGAACGCCTGCCGCCCGACACCCGCCTGTATCGCGCTCGCGCCAAATGCGGTGGCACGCCTCACACTGAAGGTTGCCACCAGCGGGAGGCCCGGCCGCGGCACGTCAAACCGCCACTCCCCACTCGTTCCTCCGGCGGTGCGTGTGACTGGGTCGGGGGCCTGAGGGTGGGGTGGCGTGAGCGACTGCAGGGCGATGGCCTGCACGTCGGCGATGCTGAGAACCAGCTGCTGGGTGGCCGTCAGGTCGTACGGCAAGGTAGCAGCTGGTGGGGGGAACTCGAGCCGGTACCTGCAGCGCCTCGGTGTGTCCTCGAGAATCGTGATGCTGAGCGAGCAGCACATACCACATACATACACACACATGATTCAGAACGAGATCCTCACTTTTTTTCCCACCGTTCCCTCCCCTAACCTACCCCAGTTGGTCCAATGACAGGTTTCGGTAGTACAGCTCCACGGCGCTCTCCACAGCACCTTGTCGCCTCTCCAGCACTTCGCCTGCGCCCCTCTCCCTCTGGCGTCCCTGCCCGTCCTCGAACGGCTCACGCACCTGCATCGCGTCACTGATCGCCTGTGTGGGCAGGATCAGTCGGTTGACGTCGTCGTAGTGCTCGGCGCCTTGTGCCAGCGGGAGGGAGTGCATGGGCTGCTGTGAGTCGGGGCGGACCAGAGACACGTCCCATGGCTGCTGGCTGACGCCCTCGAGGCAGAGGGATGGCTTCCATATTTGGCTGGGATAGGGTGTGAGGGTGGCGCGGCCGGTCATCTTGCCGCCGTCACTGCGCTTGCCCAGGTCGATGCCCATGCGCACCTTCGTGCTGCGCAGGCTTGCTGTGCAGGCCTCCTTCACCCCGGGGAAAACGATGCCGACCTTGACGGATCCTGCGGGAATGGTGACGTTGGTAGTGGTGGTCTTCGGGTGGTTGATGTAGTTGTGGTCCAACACCAACCGCTCCGAGTACTTCTTGGCACCCGTGCCTGGAGCGAACTCCAGCCCGCGGCAGCCGGGCGCGATGAGCTCGATGCGGGACACGCTCGCCATGAGGCCGGCTGAGGGACGCAACGGGAACATGTGCGATTCGTCGAACGTCACAACGTTGAAGACACTCACAACCGGCTCACCCACAGGGCGAACGCTGACCAAACACACATACAGCATACATGCATTAATACATACATACACACCTTTCTTTCGTGTCTCACTCACCACATTTCTTTGTAGTCCATTTTCTCGTAGATGAACCCCACCAGCAGCGTCCGCGAGGCCGTCACGCGCTCCTGAGGGACCAGCAGGCGGACCGCTCCGGTGCTGCCATCAAACGCCCACATCGTCTGGTCCAACTCGTGGGCGTCGAGGCCGAGCACCCCTTCGTATTGGTTGTCGCTGGTCGGTCCCGACGCCACGCTGCCCGCAGCCGACTGCGCCACAAAAACCTTGCTGGGCTTCTTGCACACGTCGAATACGGCCAGCGACACACTCGAGTTGGCGGCTGCGGGCACGCCGCTGATGAGTCCCCACACAACCAACTTCAGCTGCACCACCCGTCCGAGGACATGGATCTTGACCACCCGCCGGTAGAGCTCAATGGATGTGAAGGCGCCCTGGTAGTCGCACTGGTCGGTGGGGGGGAGGGTGGCCATGGCCAGTCCGGAGGAGCTGCCAATGCAACACCAGCTGAGAGCGATGAAGGTACTAGCGGTGGCCGCAGAAGATTTCGCTACGAGGACACGATACGAGGCACACGCGGAAGATTTCATCGAGAGCGGTTGGCGCTTGTCAACCGACCTTCACAGCGCCATGCTCAAGCACTTCTTTCGCTGCTCAAGCGGTTTGCAATTCGTTTAACGAAACCCGCTTTTCCTAACTCGACAAAACCCTGCCTGCGGAGCCAGCCGCGGCTGAAGTAATGGATAGCATCGGCGGCCCTGCCAGCGGCGTGGCGACCCCAGCGGGCTCATTTCGGTTCGATCTCCGCAACCGCGCCACCCCGGACCCCAGCTGTCGATGAGTAGGCCAGCAGCTCCTCACACAACGCAGCCTCCCATTGCAGCAGAGGTGGAGCATCGGCTGCAGCTGGAGAATGAGCCGTCCTTCATTAGTGTGAAGTGGGTCGGGGGAGGCACGTCTGGTGAGGTGGTGCACGGCAAGTGGAAGGGGAGGCCGACGGCGTTCAAGGTCTTCAAACTGGACCAGCATGGACGAATAGACGCCCGGCAGGAAAGCAGTCGGCTCAACCACATCAAAGTCGCAGATGAGCCGCAGCTCTGGCGCAGCAGCGTCCCCTTCCCCATGCCGTACGCTGACGCGCCTATCAGGGGGCAGCTGACCATGGCCGGACAGAAGCCAAGGGACCGCCTTGTCGTCCCCATGGAGTACCTCGGTAGGTGCGGGGTGGGTCATCGAGGGGAAAGATGCACTCACGGCACGGACAGATGGAGAGATCCCACACTACTTGCCCACATCGCCTTCTGTTCCTGTGCGTGAACCTGTGTGTGTGTGTGTGTGTGTGTGCAGACACTCCGCCTTACCTTACACTGACGGGCCTCATCCGGACTGGCTTCAACGTGCCCTCAATCGCCAAGAACTACCCCAATACCAACAGCGAAGACGAAATCGAGAGACAAGATGAGCGGATCGACGTGGCCGGCAGGCTGCTGGAGCTGCTGGCTGTCATGCTAGTCGTCGTCCGTGCGCACCGCGCCGCCTACGCCCTTGGCTTCGTCTGCACCGATCACGTCACCAGCGACACCTTCCTCCACGTCGACCTTGTCGAAGCCGTCAAATGGGATAAGGTCGCCGATCTCCCCGGCTCGATACCCACCATCGGCAAGCTGGTCGACACCATCGCCGTCGTCCTCCTCACCACCCCTCTCCCCCCTCTCCCCCCTCTCCCCCCCACCCCGTCATTCCTCGGCGACAGCATTGCCACCGTGCCCTTCCGCTACGAGCGCCGCATCGAAGTGTCCCAGTTCCCCACTGGCAAGCCCTTCCAGGAGTCCCCAGAGGTGGCTGTCTATGCCGTCGAAGACTACAAGCAGAAGGGCCTTCTGTCGGACCTCTTCGGCAACAACAGACAAAGAGAGATTGACGACATCGTCAAGGCGGAGGAGGCGCTGCTGGCTCGGTGGCGGCCCCTCGGGCTTGTGGTATCTGACAGCGGCGGGCAGGGAGGGAGCGGGGAGGCATGTGTCATCGGCAGACCGACCTCGACGTTCAACCTGGGCATGTGCCTCCAGACCCTGTTTAGGGGGGAGACGCTGCTGGACTGGTCTTGCGGGGTAGCGGCGCCAGAGGAGGTCACTGAGACGGAGGCCCAGAAGGCCGACCGGGAGCGCAGCGAGTGCGCTGCGGGCAAGAAGGCGCTGTTCGAGTGGGAGAAGACACTGGCCGACATCTGCGACGACAAGGGGTACCCCGTGCTGAGGGAGGGGGTGGAGTCGCTGAGGGAGAGGGCCGACAGGGAGGAGGGCATGCAGTGGCTGGCAGAGGTCCTCGACCCCATCGCAAGCCTCTCGCGCAAGGCCATCTCGACGCACCCGGCTGACCGAGGCCATCCAGAGGACCTCGAGAACGCTGTCCTCGCCGGCCTGCAGAGACTGCGGACCGTCATAGTTCGGCTGAACGTACACACAAGACCCACCCACTCACTCAACCGCTGTTGTCGGTATCCATAGGTTTGTGTGTTATGCTCACAGGCCGAGTGCGCCAATTGTATGGCGGCGGCCGCACATGATACCGCTCAGGTACGCCGTCCCCACACACGACGCTCATGTGGCTGGATGACGAGACTGGTGGCGTGGCCTGTGGTGCCTGTCAGGAGGATCTATCGGTGCCTGCGGCCACTGACCAACGAGAGCCGGCGGTCAGCCCAACCAGACACAGATTTGGGAATGAGTCCGTGCAGATGTGCACTGTGTTGATTGGGTGCAGTTGCAGCGGGAGGACTTGGAGCCCATGCCGGCAGGCACCGCAGCTGATGAGAGACAGGTGTGTTGCACACCAGCACACCCACACACATCTGTGGAGTTGATCTGTGTGTGGGTGTGCTCTGCAGGTAGACCCTGACGGTCGACTTAGCAGCATTGCCTTCGTAGCGTTGAGTTTGCCGATGACGGAGCTGGCCGACAAGTGCCGGCGGGAGCCGGCGGAGCGTCGCATGGCCTTAGTCCACGAGCACAAGCAGCAGATCGTCGATTACATTAGTGAGTGGTTGGTTGGTTGGTTGGGCGAGAGAGAGAGAAGCGATGAGCTGGGGGTGGGGAAACCTTTCTACCTCCCTCTGTGTCCCAATCTGTTCCAGCTTACGTGGAAGGGCACCACACGGCGGGCAGACTCCGCCCCCACATGTGTGGTGTGGTAGTCGAGACAATGATGGCCCTCATCAAGGCGGGCGGGCTGTACGCCCCACCGACACCGGCACCACCACAGGTCATTCACATCTACACGCAACCACATGGAAGTCACAATCAACGAGTCCAATATTGAATGGGCTCATTGCTTTCGCCGTGGGTATACAGGGTCCCCCACCTGCGCCCGCCGGAGGATCGCCTTGCCGGCCGCAGCAGACGTCCAACCACTCAAGGACTTCTCCACAAGTACTTGCGTAGAGAAAGTGGCTGCCTGTCTGCCGTCTTTTGATGGTTCTCGTGTTGTGCTGTGCCGGTGTCAGGTTGCCAGTGGTGGAGGGTCGATGTGTTCGGTGACGGCATTCTCGTGCCTGCAGGTCATACACACACAAACAGACACATACGGACGGACGGACAGAGAGACAGAGAGATCGACATCCATCCATCCATTCGCGTATCTCTCTGTCTGTCTGTCTGTCTGATTTCAGCCCCGGGCGTCCTCGCGGCCAGTGCCTCATCCACCTTTCTGTCCTGCCCTGGCCCCACAGCCTGCAGCCGTCCAGCCTCGCCCCCCATCATCCCACGTCAAGAGGCGCCTGCGGGGCGGAGGAAGCTGTGGACGAAAGCCCTGGGGGAGGGTTTGGTGATTGACACAGATGAGGTGGCCAGCGACGGCAAGTGGAGCATGGACCATGTCAGGGCCTTCACTGCACTTCGTGGGGGGGAAGCCGTATGGCCCCTCGACTGACAGACAGGACGGAGGGAGGGAGGGAGCTGTACAGCGATGTGTCGCTGTGTAGCGGACGGCACGATGGATACACGCCTTCCTTGTGTTGTATCTATCGTTTGGATCGGCTGGTGTTCAGTTCATGGGGTTGGTGTGACACTGTGAATAGCTACAACCTCAACCAAGTGAGTGCGTTGATCATTCGATAGCTCATGCACGGACAAATGGAGCATGCGACTGCCCGCCTATGCATGAGTCGCTGTGGCGGTGGCAGTGGCGTGCTCGCTCATCGGTCCTCTGCACATGGTGCAATAAATCAGTGTATCAACCAGTGACTTGATCAGGTCATGCCATCCCGGTGCAAAAAGAGTCTGCAGCAATAGCAGCAATTACACCGACGAGCATCCATCCAACTAGAGACATTCATGAAACCCTCGATCCCCCCTAGGCCTTCGTGCCGTGTCTTTTGCAGAGAGGGACGGGTGCATACCACACAACATACACACGCACAAGCATCGCCCACCCACCCCACAATACACAGACAGGTTCGCCCTCACCCACACGTGACAGACACGTGCACAAAGCCACCTACACACCCCACCTACACACGCGGCTAGAAACAGACAGACAGACAGACCAACCCACATAGTCGCATATACAATGGATGATATCGATCGAATCCATACAATGCACAGCAGGGGGACACTTCCGCTGTGCATGACCCCACACACACGAAGAAAGTCCTTTCCCTTTCTTGTCGAATGCACACAAGCAAGAGGGCCCAAAATGTGTCTCTCTGCTTGCACGTGTTCATGGTGCGTGAGTGCGTTTACCAGGCAGGCAGGCAGGCAGGCATTCACTCAGGTCATGCATGAGTCAGCCAAGGGCGGGCATACCACGTGTGTGCACCTGGGGTGCTTTCGCCCTATGGGTCGGTGGTAGGAAGCAACCAAGCAACCAAGCAAGCAGGGAGACAACAGGAACAGACACAGACGAGGCATTCAATCAAGCCAACCAGGCCATCCATCCATCAAGTAAATTGGGAGTGTCTCTTGTTTGCGAGACCTCCTACACACACCACACACACACAAACGGGCAAACGCACAAATTCCACACGAACAGACCGACAGACCGACCGACCGACCGACCGACAGACACATCCATCCATGGTATCAACCACTGCGATCCGTCCATCCCATTCGTCCATCCATCCATTGATTCGGCAGCCATGAAGGGCTCAACTAAATCAACGGCTCCAAAAAACACTCTGATAGGCACTTTCTGACACAATGAACAGACAAGACACCCAGACAGACAGACAGACAGACACCCAGATAGACAGACAGGCAGACAGGACAAACGGCAGAAAAACCACAAACCGACCCTTACAAGAGATCACGCAGCAAATTCGGGCAGCCTGTGGCTGTCCTTTCCGCCATCACAGCACCAATCACAGCGCATGACATCACATCGCCCTTGCCGCCACTTGATGTGCCTTGTGTGTAGCACATGAGTGGGGGAGGGTGGGACAAAGCAGAGTGCACCAAGTCACCAAGTGTGTAAGGGGCAATCAACCATGTATGTGCCAATCTGTCTACCAGCCTTGCAAAATGGTTGATAAAACCGTAAGTAAAAAATTGTAAATGGCCAGCCAGCCAGCCAGCCAGCCAGCTTTTCCCCCGTTGGAACGGAACATGCACCCACCCCTCCCCACCCACCCACCCACCCCCGCCCGGCTACAGGTACACAGCCCGTAAGGTACGCACTCGCTCGTCTTGATAAACGTACACCCGCACAGCCCTCGTCGCACCTTGCACCGTGCACACCAGCACCAATACTCATCGCGGCATCAGCGAAAAATGTGGTCGTTCACTCATTCTCGTCTGCCGACACAGACGGACAAGGGGAGGGATAGCAAAAACACCAAGTGCTCATAAGCACTCACTCATTCGTGGGGAGGGACTGCCGCCGGGGTGTACGTAGGCACATGAACATGCACATTGGAAAAAGACGAGTGAGTCATGATGTTTGCAGGGGGG